CCTTCCAGGGAACCACAGTGGCATCTGTTTACAGTGCTGGCCCACACATCCCACCTGCTGTGATCCTCCACATCCGCACCTGCCCTGCTGCCCTCCTCCGCATCTGCTCTGCTGCGCTCCTCCGCACCTGCCGAGACCCTCCGCACCTGCCCTGCTGAGATCCTTCTCACCTGCCCTGGTGAGACCCTCCACATCTGCTCCTGGTGAGACCCTCCGCATCTGCCCCGGGTTAGACCCTCTGTACCTGCCCCTGCTGAGACCCATCTCACCTGCCCCTGCTGAGACCCTCCACATCTGCCACTAGTGAGACCCTCGGCATCTGCCACTGGTGAGACCCTCCACATCTGCCACTGGTGAGACCCTCCACATCTGCCACTGGTGAGTCCCTCCACATCTGCCACTGGTGAGACCCTCCACATCTGTCTGAGACCCTCCACATCTGCCACTGGTGAGACCCTCCACATCTGCCTGAGACCCTCCACATCAGGGGCCTAGCCTCCTGTGGGGTGGCCTGCTGCACCACAGTCTGACGGGGATCAGACTACTTGTGATGGCCAGTCCCAGAGATGTCATTGTGTATGTGTCATTCTACCTGCCCAGTCTGCAGTGCATTGGTTCTGGTCTGTGCACTGGTTCTGGCCTGAGCTCTGCCATGCATTGGTTCTGGTCTGAGGTCTGCTGTGCATTCTGCCATTTAGCTCACTTTCCAAATTGCCGATATTGGTCTAGATTTTTAATTATTTTACCTATTCCTTGCAATTCAACTTTTAGTGAATAGGCCTGCTATTTTGAAATTAATGGGAGAAATAATTTCTGCAACACAAAAATATTTATGCGGGTGAGGCTTGTGGATGGGAGGGGCTTGTATATGGGTGGACACCTGCACTCCAAAGCAAGTTCAGTACATGTTTATGAACGGTTATCGTTCATAAACACGTACTGAACTTGCTTTGGAGTGCCGGTGTCCATCCTTTACTGATATTTTGTCGGAAGCCATCCGCTGACACCTGCTGCACCCACCCTCCATTTTTGGAGCAGCGGCTCTGAGTGCGATGGGTACACAGACTGTATCTTGTATATGGGTGGAGCACTAGGGGGGCCCCATAATCTCGTATTGCCCGGGGGCCCCATGTGTTGTCAGTCCGCCCCTGCCTCTAGATGTGTAGACATGTGGGAACTGGCTCAGGAGACATTGTTGAGATGGTACCTGACTCCTTCCCGGCTAGCTAAAATGTCCACATCTTCCTCTGCGATGTGCTGGTGGGGATGTGGACTGTGAAATGGCAACCCTGGTATCTGTGGTCTCAGAAAAACACTCCTACCCCATAAATTTCAACAATGGCGGTACATGTGACTCTCTGATATTATGTATATGGAACCTCTCGGGCCACATCATATGGGAATTGTGCATGCCCTATTGGCACAGTACATACACCTTATATTGATGTTTTGGTCCTACTCAGACCTTCATTGTTGTTCGATACTCTTTTATTCTGTTTTGTGTAACCGAAAATGCCCAAATAAAAATCTATTGAACGTAAAATTGTGCATACTTTTAATTAAGATTCCTATATGGTCTATGTTACTAAATGTGACTGCCCTGACTTCCCCAATACTCTGCCTGTCCTAACCTCAGCTGGGTTTTCTGTCTATATTTTATTTACTGACTATACTTGTCATGAATTCACTGCAGCAGTTGTCATTTGGTCTTATGTGCCAAGTTTACTTTTTTTCTTTCAAATTCTTTATTTATAAAAAAAAAGGTGGGATACAGAGAGCATTTGTAAAATATATGGGCCACATGGCCTCACGCCAAACAAAGTCAATAAACCTGACAGCAAATGATAAAACAAGGGAATTGAGACAACCTCAATCAGTATCAAATCTCCAAATATACTCAGATCTGTTTCAGGTTAGGTCGGTCTCTCTTCCTCCCATCCCTTAACCCTTTCGCTGCCAAGCCCTCTGGAACATTTTTCAAATCAGCTGGCCACGCCATTTTTGCATTTTTTCCCCATTGATTTGATTCTCAACTGCTGGGTTGCTAGCGTTTGTAAAAGACCCCCCAAACCATATATTTTCTGAAAGCGCAGATTTGAGTCCACAGAGAGTCTAAAAAGAGTCCAGAGTTTGGAGCATATACCGCCACAAGGGTCACCCTGTGGCCATGGAGATCACCCTTGAGAAGCAGCATACGTCCCTCCGGGTCTGCATAGCGTTCAATGTACGTCCATGGGACGGAGTTCGCCAGTACTATACTAACCCCTTTAGATATGGAGTCTGGGGAGGGGGCATGGTAGGCCGAGCGGTATCTACTATTACCCAATCGGGGAATTTTCCCGCTCTTAAAGTGGGTTTCTTGTAAAAATGGGTCTGCGATCGTCACAGGTCGTTCAATAAACAGGACCTCTTCTCGGGGACATGGAGGCCACGTACGTTGAAAGAGGTGACTCTAAGATCAGGCATAGTGAACTTGCAACAAAACAAAATAAATAAATAAAAGAAAAACCTCCCAACCTCTTATCACTCTTTGGGAACCCGATTACAGGGGACTCTAAGTAAGGGCAGGGAAACACACTGACAGTACACGAAGAGAAAAGACAAACCAACACTAGGAGGGCAGGGTAGGGAAAAGACAAATGGGGGATAGAAAGCACGCGGAGGTGAGAACGTTTCTGACCACCGTGTGGGAAAGGTTCACACACACAAAACAAGAGTGTTCCTACGGGATATCTCCGGTACGGAGAGGAAACACTCAAAATGGGGGAGTAGTTTGGGCACAGCGATGTGGAGAGATGCAGACCAGGGTGATTGTCGAACTGGTAACACCAGCTCCGTCCCTCGCTATGTGCAAGCTTTAACATGCCCCATTGCCCCTTGACCCTGAGCACTGAAGGTTATAAGGGGTACATAAGGCAGGCAAAGGTTGACCCAGGAACACTCTTCTTATATAACATCCTGCCGTGTCTTGAGTATATCTAACGATTAAATGACATGCAATGCAAAATATAACCACAACATAATAACAGTGAATAGACTGGCAAAGTCATCAACCCCAGTGAATGAAGGGTCGAGAGGCTGTGGGGGTCTCAAGGCCAACCAACCAAACCCTGCGATACCACCAACAGGTCTCCCTGGCCAAGCGTCCCCGCAGCCTCCCCATAAAGCAGTATGCCTCAAAAGAGGCAAGGGGTCAAATATAGACACATGCCCACAGCATGATGGGTAGGAAGTCCTTCAACAAATAGGACCTCCAAACCACCACTACAGTAAGTACCCTGGGCTTCGTCCTGGAAATCCGCATGGCGAGGCCGCGAGGGATTGAGAAGGCCGCAGCAGGGGGTCATCAAGAAACCGGCCAGTTCAGAAGAACGCCAGGTAAGTAGATGTAGTTCAGCTCTCCGGATCCATGGGTTGGGCCCACTGAGATGCTCGAGCAGCAGATCTCTGACGGCTTCTACGGCGCCCCATTGATCTAGATGGCCTTGTAGACAAAGATGGAGTCGAATCCAGAGACGGTACTTCCAGCCAGTCTGGCAGTGACAGGTCATCGCATTCCAAGAAGGCGGCCAAGTCCGGTACCTGGCGGGGTGGGCAAGTCTGAAGAAGCAATCTCCTCTGCCGATCAGAAGCGAGAACGGAAATCCCCATCTGTATGTAATCCCCTTGGTTTGCAGCAGGTCAGTGAGGGGTTTCAAGAGCCGTTGGCGGTATAGAGTCTAGGGGCACACATCGGGTAGAATCAAGACCTCCGCACCATCAAAGTCCACCGTACCCAACCACCAGGCTCTCTGTAGAATCTCCTCTTTAAAGTTGAAAAAGGGAATTCTACACAGGACGTCTCTGGGTTTGTTAGCATCTGTCCCCATTTGGCCCAGGGACCTGTGTACCCGATCTAGCTCAATCTGTTCCGTTGGCGGCCTGTCCAGCAGGGAGTTAAAGATCGCAGTGACTGCCACTCTGAGGTCAGGGCCACCTGTGGCTCCAGGATCCCCCGCAACCGCAGGTTGTTGCGGCGGTTGCGATCCTCTGAATCTTCCAGCCGCAGCTGCATCTGAGCAATGTGGGTCTGCTGGCGCAGTATGGAGGCTTCCAAGCGGGTCACCTTACTTTCCAGAGACCGGTCAGCGTCTTCCAGTACCTCCAATCTCCTCTCATGTAGTTCCACTCCCGACCTCACCTCCGCCAGATCAGATCTGAGTGAGGACGCCAGCTGATCAATCATGCCCTGTATGTCGGCGCGTGTCGGGATCACCGCCAGTATAGACCGGAGCTCTGGGTCTGCGCCCAGGCCCGAACATCCGAGCAGGGAGGCATTGGTGAGGGTATCTCCGATCCGGAGTCAGGTAAGGAGAAGGCCGGGGATGCCGGTGGGAACGGCGGAGCGGCCTCGTCAGTGACACTGGAGGCAGTATAGGCTGGGGAAGCTAGGGCTTGCACCACTGGGGGAGAGTACGTGGGCGCCCTGGTCCGCTCACGTGTCGGGCCCAGTTGCCTGGGGCGAAACATCCGGGATTGCATCTGCAGTCGTACAGGGGCACGGGGTGTCTTCGACTTCTTCCCGGTCCGAGTCATGGGGCGATAGGGCATATAAGAAGATTAACTGGAAAAATCCCCCTGGGTCTGCAGAACTCTTTGCCTTAGCTACTGCTCGGTGCCATGTCCAGGCCACGCCCCCTCCAAGTTTACTTTTTTGACCATGTTTCATATTACACCAATATGTAGGCCATAACATGAAACATGGTCACACCCCCAGCCCCTCACTTCAAACTGCCCTCCCTCCCCATTTACCTGAATCACAGGGTTCTTCTCCCTGCAGACTGCTGTAATTTTTTTTAATTTGGCATGACTTTGCAATAAAGTTGGCTGTGCAAGTAGCTTGTAGGCTTTGATATAAGTGCAGTGTTTATCAGAAACACATTTTTTGCAAACTCCAAAGGTCACTAAACTTTCTTGGTAAAAAAAAATATCAAATACTGTATAATATGTATAATACGTACAATACCATGGAGCTGATTGGTGTTTTCAGAATTAGATGGGTGAGGAGTGTTCTCCATCTTCTGTGCTAAATGACGAGACCCATAGAGGGAATCATATGTAGACCATTGACGAAAAGCTTCCTCACCATCAAAAAATATCAGTCGAAGTGAAAGGTCTGGTTTTCTACTTGAATTTCTTTGCTGTGAATTAAAAAAAAAAAATACATTGACTTTTAGCTTACAAAGCAAGATACATAGAAAGGAGTTAGTCACTCTAATTAAAACTAAACTCCAGTAATAAATGATAAGTTACATGCCTTTTTTTCAAAGAATAGAAGGTGTACTGTGATTGGAAGAGGAGAAAAGGGACAAGGATGTGACATAATCTTTCCTCCTCCAATCACAGAACACCTTGTATCCTTTGAGAAAAAAACAAGGCATTTTGTGAATGGGAAAGTAGCGAGGATGGGCGGGTATGTGACTGGAGCACTTCACTGCTAGAGTCCAATCCCTCGCTCCCTGCAACACCTTGAAGTCAAGGGTTATGTGTAGGAGTCGGAATGTTGCAAGGTAAGATTTTGATACATTGCGGAAGCCCTCCACACATAACATACATTTAATGATAATTTACACACCAAGTGCAGTGTGTAAATTATAATTTTTTTCAATTCTTTATACTTTTAACAAAAAGTAAGTAAAAGTTTCCTTGGAAGTAAAAACAGGTTCCCTTTGGTGAAAAGCAATTTTTTTTAAACAATTGTCTTTTCTAAAAGAAAAGTAAAACTTATAACAGTGAACAATCATATTACATCATATCACAAGCTGACGCCATGGGTCAAAGATACCTATATAAACAATTAAAACATTATAAAGAAGAAAAAAGTGAAAGATAGAAAAAAAGACACTGCCCTACCAAAACGAGACAACAATTTTTAATCATAATAGAAAGAAAAGAGGGAGAGAAAACAGAAAGAGGGGAAAGGGGAAAAGAAGTATACAGATATGAAGAGGTAAGTATGACAAAAAACAAACAAAAAGAAAAAGGTGCACGTCTGGTCCATTCCCAGAGGACTGTATGAAGAAGGATGTCATTTAGCTCCCTGCATGGTGTGACTATACACTACAGGTCATGATCTAAGGTCATGGAAAAAAAAAACTTTTCTCCAGAGATTCCCAAGGTTCTCAAATAACATTATATCTAGCTAAAGTGTTATCCATGTTCTGCACTGCTTTGATACAACCATATAGATCTAACTTAGATGGAGGTAACTTTTGTTTCCAATGCAATGCAATTAAGTAACCGGTTGCTGTTAAAATATGTAGAGTCGATTTGCTAAGGTGTTTATGTAAATGCTAGAAAATGAAAACCCAGTAGATAGTAGAGAGGGTCCAATGGCATAGATCGTGACATGAGACATTCAAGTGTAGAACCAACCAACCATCTCCCAAAAAGGCTGAATGAGGGGACAAGATTGATAAATGTGTAACAGGGAACCTAGAACTGAGTCACATCTTCAGAACATAGGAGAGACATCTGGGTATATAGAATGCAACATTTCTGGTGTATGATACCAAAGATATCATATTGTATATTGGTTTTTACTTATAAATTAAGCAGATGGAGGACCCTGCTTAATTTCTCCATATTGCCTCCCATTGTTCCTGAGTTAGCTTGGAACCCATTTAATCATATAGGAATGTTTGACAAAAGTGTCTGGGTATGGTGAATTTAGAAGTTGGTAGATAGCAGATATCAAACCTTTGGAAGAGGGGTTGGAACCACAAATGTTCTAAAAAGGGGTACGTTTACAAAAGGTAAGAGTTCTAGTTAAAGACTGACCGAAATGTTTAATTTGCAAAAAAGAAAAAAGAGATTTGGAAGACAAAATTTCACTCACAAAACAGGAAAAGGAAATAGAGTTCCAGAGACCTTATCTACGATATTTCTGAATTGGAAAAGACCCTTGGATTCCCAAAGAACTAGACCATTCCATAGAAAGGGTCGATGGAAGCTTGGGAGAATGTAAGAAAGAAGTCAGGGAGGAGGTATTTGATGCTAGGCCGTAGGAATATTTAAATTTATTCCAAACTGTCATGATGCAAACCATAGAAGCAAAGTGGAGCTTTTATGGATGTCCATAAAAGTAAATTCGGATAAATAGAGGAGAGCAAATGCTGTTCAATTTGAGTCCATCTTGTCCGAGGATGGTAAGAACACCAAAAGGGTATATTTCTCAACTGGGTGGCCACATATTTGTAAATATTGGGTAAGGAAAAACGACCTCAAAGTATTGAAGTGAAAAGCACATGCTTCGAAACCCTATGGTGTATTGAGTACGAGCACCAATATTTTTTTTTCCCGTACTCACCGATACCGAATACCAATACCGGCATCCAGCAATTCGAGCCAGCCTGGATTCCTGACCAATCAGGAAGCTGGGCGGTGGGTCATGACATGTCGCCCGGCTTCCTGATTGGCTAGGAAGCCGTCTTCACTTGTTGCTAGGCTGGTCAGGAAGCCAAGAGGCGGGTCATGACATGCCGTCCGTCTTCCTGATTGGCTAGGAAGCTGACTTCAGTTATTGCTACACAGCCTGGCTTCCTGACCAATCAGAAAGCCAGCCTGCCTAGCAATAAGTGAAGCCGGCTTCCTAGCCAATCAGGAAGCTGGGAGGCAGGTCATAACCCACCGCCCGGCTTTCTGATTGGCCGGGAAGCCAGCTCCATGCTCCCTTGCAGCACTGCCGGGAAGCCGGCTCCATGCTCCCTTGCAGCACTGCCGGTCAGAGGGAGATCTCACCCAAATACTCGGAATCGGCACCGATACTAGTATCGGTATCAGTGCATCCCTAGTGTCTACCATCCCACAGAAAGTATAGTATCTCCCTTTGCAAAGAAGCAAGGTCAGAAGCAAAAGTCGGTTCCAACAAAGTTTGCAAATAATATTACAATTCAGGTAAAAATGCAATTTTAACCGCCGTTATTTTGCCCACTTAGGAAAAAGTGAACACAATGTCCTAAAGATAGGTTTATAATTAGCTCCATATAAGAGTGAAGGATGGGTGGTAAGAAGCATCCCTAAATATTTTAAAGTATGTTGTTTCGAATGATAAGGAAAGGAAAGACGTAAAATGGAAAGAGTCTCAGGGAGTATGTTTATAGGCAATGCCTCAGTGTTTCCAGTGATTCAATTATAACCTCTGAGTAGCTAGAAAGCTCTCGATGGAGGTTGGGTAGAGACAAAAGGGGTTTTGTTAAAGATAAGATAATGGAAATAATGCCAATTTGAACTGTTGGTGATATCACACCAGTGATATCAAGGGACCTTCTAATTCGAGAAGCTAGTGGTTCTGTGCACAGCACACAAAGAAGTGGGGACAGGGGACACCCCTCTATCGTACCATTTCTGAGGTGGAACACAAAGGGGGTAGCATACTGTAGTTTAATAGAGGCCATTGTGGCAATTATTACCAGCCGTGGAAAAGGGGCCCCTGATACCAATATGCGAGAGCGTTGCTTTATGAAAGGGCCAACTCAGCCTATCGAAGACCTTTTCCGTGTCTAAACATAAAATTACACTAAGCTCAAGAGTTAAATCTTAAAAATGCATTCAAGTACCGTAACTATTAACAAAAATGTACCTTATTTGTGCATCACTCGGCTGTAGTTCTTCAAATAATTTCTGAATTTGTGCTGGATCATTGTATGAATCATGTTTTGTAATCAATTTTAACTTTTATTTATTTATATGCATGTTTAAATACAATTTGATAATTGTATACATATTTATATATAAATGGTCTATTGTACCCCTCCGGAAACCCTAATATTTTCTCCTAATTTTCTTACTCTACGTACCCCAGGGGGAGGGGTGAAATGAGGGTGCCTATAGTGAGGCAATCCACGGCCTGTATTTTGAAGTCAGCACAAATCAAAGATGATTTGAGGATTTACAACAGAGTGATAACCTAATAAGCTACATTTTTGTTAATAAGTGAAGAATCTAAACTCCTTTAGTAAATCAGTCTAATTGCTTGGGAGTTCAGAGCAACACATACAGAGATCAGAAAGTTACAAGGTCACTGGATTTCTGGCAAGATCAACAGGTATTTTTCTGTAATATGTGACTTTCTGGGCTTCTAACTACAAACCTCTCATAGGCTCTCATAGATTAGAGTTAGGACAAAACTACATAGAGGCGCCTTGACAAGGCAGTGTGGCTTCCACATATTTTGCAAAAGTTGTGCACAAATTGTTGGTGTACGCTAGCTGGTAAGTGTGCTGGGAATTTTTCTGTGTTTGTACTATGGAAAGTCCTTCCATATGCACCTTACTTTAACCCCTTCACGACTGGAGACGTACACTATACATCTCCATCAGGAAGTGCACAAATGACTGCTCACGTACAGTGTACGTGAGCAACTATTCAGGGTTTTGAAATGCCGGTAACCGCTGAGAATCAGTGGTTACTGTTCATTAATGGATGCCTCAGACAGCGTTCAAAGTATGTCGCTGTCCCTAAGTGTGACAGTTAGTGACACTTACTGACAGTGACATTGTAGGCCATTCATACTAAGTGAGGCATTAGGCACACATATGTGATATAATTATATAGCCCTATCTGTCCCCTAAAAAACAATATATAATATGTGTGGGTGCACTTAGAAAGAAAGTATTTCTTTCTGCCATGGAAGAATCACACATCAAAAATGTAAAAAGTGCTTCAGTCATTTACGAACAGAAACTGAAAAAAAGCTCCGTCATGAAGGGGTTAAAAAGCTAGTTATAAATTGATTTGTGTGGTTGCCATTTGTTTAACTTGCTGGATTTGGTATGGGATACACACTGGGGTCTTAAGCTGCCATTGTGATGTGCTGGGCTTCTGGTGTGTCCCTGTGCCTTTAGGGAGGAATGGGCACCTAAGGCATACCTGCACTCAATTTATCCATTGTCATGCTTGTAACACTCTGGGCTCTGACAGGACTTGGTATGGATCACAGCTGCAAATGTCTCAAGGATCAAATCACCAAATAAATAAACACTTAGGGAACTATAGTCTCATTAATCTTGAAGTAAGACTTCAGTACCGCATGAATAAAAGGAGAACAATGTTTAGTGTCCCTAAGCATCAACATGCATTTACAACTTAAATATTGTAACTCTCTCTGAGCTAGGTACCAGTTATAAGTACTGACAGAAGT